TATCATAGAGTATAACCCAGCACCGTCGGAAGCGAACCTGGATCAACGCTGCACCAAAACACATGTCCGGAGTTGACGAAGTAGCTCGATGTCGCGGATCTTCAATCCGGCGTAAGAGATGAAGATGAGCGCCTGGATCACGAGGGCTTCGGAGACGAAGATGTATGCGATTGCGATGAGAGGAAAGGAGAGAAGGAGAACGAGGCGGGGAATCTCCTCTGGGTAAAGCTTTGGGAAGTATTGGAAGATGAGGAGGACTGAGAGTCGGGTTGTTGGGGATGGCAGTGGGTCAGATGATGAAGATAATATAAAGGACTGAAATTTCTCTGTTGTATGTTTAGGGATCTTAGACATCAAAAAATAATTTTGTGGATCTCTTCCATTATGAAAAGTGGAAGAGGGATCTTAGACCAATTTTCCCGTCTTTCTATTCAAATTCAAGATTTTGGGATGTACTATAAGTGTATTTTGACTTTTTGGTTAAAAAAATAGAGAAAAAAATATGTATGTTTATTTATAATTTTTTGATTTCTTACGAAAAGATGTCTAATAAAATATTGTAATAAAATTAAAATAACAATTTTACCCTTTTAACTTTTTGACTTTTAACTTGATTGAATTCAAAGGGTAAAATAATAATTTTGTCCCATTGGTTTCCTCCATAAGCTATCTTTGAATTTTTTAAATTTTTTAAATAATTTTTTATTTTATTTTTTGACTCTTTTAATTTATCCCAAATAAGGGGCTTGTGGAGAAAAAAAAGAAGGTTGCAAAATGTGAAATAAAATACAAGTTTTTTTTTTTTATTTTTTATTTCTCTCATTTTTTTTTCTCCCTTCGCAAATTTCTATCGAAATCTTAAATTTAAACACAACATTAATCTGCTAATGATTAGGGAAATAAAAACAATAAAAAAAAGGAAAATGGCTCATACACCCACTGGGGGTCGACTCCCAGTGAGGTGTCACTCCGGGATTGGCCGAAAAAAAAACTGTTTTTTTTTTCTTTTTTTTTTTGGAGTTTTCAGCCAGTGGGGGCGCGCCACGTCACTGGGGGCGCGACCCCCGTTGGGGGTATGCAGCGCGGTTGTAAAAAAAAATCTTTGACGGAGAAGACAGAGATAGGTCAACGACATGGCTTCTATAGAGAAGAGACCAACAATGCGAGAGCATATTGATTAGTCTCCACCTAAATAGTTTAGGATTATCTTATGGTCAAGATTTCATTTAAAGAAATTTAACCAAAGTAAATTAAACAAAGTGATCAGAGATCAAAATTTTCTTTCATTTGACCCAACCAGCTCCTGAGCTTTATAAAGATTGCATCGATTCTTATAAGAGAAAGACAAGATTAATCGAATATATTCAAAGCCAACTAAATGATATCCCGCAATAATTGGGGTCATGAGTTTTTAGTTTATGGGAGCCAGTGTTGGTATTTTTTTTTTGGTAGTGTTATATGCACCAATTAGTATATTAACTAATGTACCAATACTAGTTATGATATTATTATTGATCTCATTCATTAATTACATTATAAATTTTAAAAACTTTTTAAATTATGTCACATCATCAATTGGTACACTAATTAGTATATCAATTGATACATATAGCATTATTCATTTTCTTTTGATTTTTCACTTGTATAACAGTTTAAAAATAATAAATGGTTCATGCATAATTTTTCTTTTTTTTCAAAAAATTAAAGGACATCCCATGAAAAAGGTTAACCTCTCAATAGAGTTATCTAAAATAATATGAGTTGTTTTTTTATTTTTTTTAATTATGAATTAAAATATTGTGTATTTTAATTTAAAATAGAAGTCACGAAAGCCATATCATTTTTTGTCTTTTTTCTTTTTTTTTTTTTGGGTCGGGGAGGAGAGACGGATGGTGGAAGGTGAATCCCGAGACTTGTATACAACTGATGATGAACTAACTCATCCCAAATAGTCGTGGTTTTTTACTTTACTAATGACCATTTATTTACAGTGTGAGAATTTTGTTTAACAGTTGGGCGATTTACTGGTCCTTATATCTTGGGATTCGTATTACATTGATTTTTTATTTTTTAATTATGATATATTTGATCATAAATTTTAAATAAAAGTAATTGAAGATACAATTGCTAAATTTTAAGGGTAAAATCATCGACTTGATAAAATATAAACTAATTTGATAAAAATAAACGTCAAAAAAATATTTTGTAAATTTTTAAAAATAATTTCTACCCACCAAAGATAAAATTATATAAAATTGATTAATCTTTTAGACATTTATTTTTTTTTATCAAATTAATTTTTATTATGTGTTTGGATGATGATCATGTAATGGATGATTGTTAGACTTTTAATGTGTAGTCGATATATTTAATATATAAAATGTTTTTAGTTTTGGTTTTTTTGATTTAATGGGTTAGTTTAATAATGATATCAAAGTTGTCGTCATATTTGACTTTTAGAAAAATAGAAACTAATTCAATGAAAATAAAAATAATCACCCATGATTATCATCCAAACACATAATAAAAATTAATTTGATTAAAAAAATAAGTAAATAAATATCTAAAGAATTTATCAATTTTATATAATTTTATCTTTAATGGGTAGAAATAATTTTTAAAAATTTAAAAATGTATTTTTTGACATTTTATTTTTGTTAAATTAGTTTGTATTTTTATCAAATTAACGACTTTGCTTTTAAAATTGAGCAATGGTATATTTAATTATCTTTATTTAAAATAATATTCAAAATTCATGATCAAATGTGACACAATTGAAAAATTAATGATCAAAATGACTCAAAATTCAAACTATAAGAATGATTAGTATAATTTACCCTTAAAAATTTTATTTATATAAGCATTAAATTATTTCTTATTTGTTTGATATAAGTGAAGCAGACAGCAGGAAAATTGCATCGGCCACCGTTAGTGACTTATTAATGCAAAGAGGCAGGGGGTGGGGTGGGTGTATGAAATTTGCGTAGAACAAGTAGGAACGTTATAGCAACTACCTTAACACGAGGGAGGAGGTGTCAATTAGATGGTGCTCTCAAAATCTGCCTGTATTTGAATTTGACAGTTAAAAAAAAAAAAAAAAAAAAAAGAAAAAGAATATGTACGCTTTATATAGTGATATTTTGAGAAATTAGTAAAAAATTAATTTTTGAAAAAAAAGAGACTTATTATTTATTTTTTATTTTTAAGAATGTCATTGTTTTCTATTCAATAACTGTTAAAATGATTTTTTTTTTTTAATATCAAATGGTCCAAAATATATAATTACCCTAGTTTTAAACTATCTAAAAATTTAAATATAAAATGCAAACGCGTTGTCTTTGCACCCACCAGGGTTGGTTTGGGGTGTACTAAAAAAGTGCACTTTTTGTCTTTTTACGAAAAGATGTGCAGAAAAGTAGGGAGGTGATGTGATGGAAAAAAGATAAAAAGATAAAAATATGAATTATATAGTAGATGACAAACAAGTATATATATACATATATTCACGGATAAATTATATTGTAAGCCCTACAAATTTGACTCTGCCTTTATCATAAATTCGTTAGTCATACGAATAAAAAAATAGTCATTTATATACAAATCCTAATTTATTAACTTAAATTCCATTAAGACTTAATTAAAATTTTTTAGACATTCAAGTTTTATTAAATTTTTAATAGTTGGAATTGCCTTTCAAACTATGATTGTTCATCATTTATGATTATCTATAAAAAAACATGATGATTTGATATTTTTAAACTGTACATAATTGATTTTCAAATTAAAACCTTATTTATGTAATTAGTGGTAAATTCATTACCCTAGGTTTTTTTTTCAAAAAATCAGTAATCCTAATTTCACTTTTAATTATTAGGTTAAATTCTTAGTTTATTTTACTTATTATTAGTTTATAAATCATCATCTTTCTAGTCAAAATTAAAGTAGAAATTTAACAATTAAATTAGTTTAATTTCACATTTGTCTCTATAAATTGATATCTAGACGTATCATTATTCTAAAAAATCTGGTACAGTTTAGTGTTTATTTTTTGTGTACAAAACGATCCATCAATCACTTTCACCCAAAAAGAGAAAAAAATTATATAGAAATGACGAATTTTTTTATTTTTATTTTATTTTATTTACCAATCTAGTTTTAACCCAACATTTTTCATTAAAAAACAAAAACAAAAACAAAAACAAAAACAAAAAAAAACAATATGAAAATCTATCTATCTATAATAATATTATAAAGTGAAACTTTTTTTTTTTATAATATTTATATCTCATATTTTGAGTTTTAAAATATTTTTATATTAATTATATGGATAATTATATCCTTTTTTTTTCAAACCTTTTAAATTTTAAATTCAATTATAATCTTACTTTTAAAAATAAAATGATGATATATTCACGCATCGCCAACGCTAAGAGCATCTGCATCAACATCAAGCTCTTCAAATTTGTTTTTTAGTTAAAAATTTCAAAAATTCAACTGCATCAAACTCGCTTGCAATTCGTCAAAATTTATGAACGTTACAGTAACTCATTACAACAAGCGAGTACTGTTCATCGCTATTTGTGTGTTACCGGATGTCTGCCCGGAAGTCCGGTCGATTAACCGATCAATGGCAATTTTTTTTGTTGCTTTTTTGAAAAATTATTTGGCTGGTAACTTATCAATTTAATAAAAAAAGAAAGACTAATAAATACAATAAGAAAATAATATTAAATAAAAAAAAATAGAATAAAAAATTTGATACAATAAATGTTAAAAGATGAATAGTTAAAAGGGCAATGCTAGAGACCTCTAATTTAGAGGCTCTAAACACATCTCTAATGAGGTGGAAAAGACAAAAAAAAAAAAAAAAAAAGATCCCAAGCATTTTTCATAGTTAAAATAATGAAATAACTTTAATTTAATTAAAAAATTGAAGAGTTTGGTGTGATGCTCGAACAACCCGAATGCGAAAGCTTATAGTTTGTTTAATACAGGGAGGATCCTTACCTACCCCGCGTGACCAAAAGAGACGCGACATTTTTGTTCTCTTTGTTTTTGTATCGAATTGATAAACTGGCAAGAGAATTGGCACTATTCGATTCCCTTTTCGAACCCATCTGTGTGTGTGTTAGAGACAAGCATTTCTTCTTCTATACATAACTCTGCGTGTCTCTCGATTTTGTCTGTTTTAGACCCATGTATGTATTTGTATAATTTCTCTAACTCCCATCACTTTCAACATCTCCGTTAACTTATTTCCTAATCAATCATCAACAATCATTTTCTTCTCCTCCTCGGTTTCTTCGTCAATCCCACCATCTATCTATAACTATAACTACTGTGTAAGATCTCTCTACTCATTCCGTTTAAATTTTCTCTTTCTTCTTTTCTGTAAGATTGGTATGTATGTGTTTTCAGGCTTTTCTTTTGATTTATGTTTGTGGGTTTAATTTATTATTACTCTCCTGGATCACCTTTCTCAAAATGCATTTGTATTTCCAAGATTTGTGTTCATGTTTGTGTGTGTGTGTGTAAATGTTTGTGACAAAGAAATTCTTGGAGTTGGATCTAATTTATCTTGTTAATTTCCAGTTAAGAAGAAGTATGTAATTGATGGGTTGTAATTGATTTTCTGTGATTATGTACCTCCCTCCTCCTTTTTTAACAATTTCAATATTATATTTTGTGGGTTCTATGGGGGAAGAACATGCTTTTTTTTTTTTTCTTTGAAATTATTGTAAGCTGGTTGACTTTTATATGTGATTTAATTGTGTGTGCTCTTCAAGATTTTTGGCGTTGTTCATGTTTAATTCAAGAATGCATGAAACCCTAATTATGTGATTGTGAGATTGTTTAACTCACTGTACTTTTATTATTATTATTATTATTTTTGTTGATGTCTTAATTCACCTCACTTTCAATTCCTTGTTATTGTTCTCTCTTTTCTTTCCTTCTTGATTTTCCTATTTCCTTTTTGACCCTCCTGTTTGGACAATAGAAATATAAAGAACCTGTTCCTTGAATCAGTGACCTCATTTTGAGTTGAATATATTCTTCCTTTTACAAGCACTGAAGTATGTGCCAGTCTCTGTGCAGACTATACTTTGTGTTGTTCACAAAATGGGCACTACCCATTTGTCTAATTTGTATGTATGCATAATTACTTGGGTTTTTTTTCAAATTTTTTTCAGAATGTCTGCTACGGCATTTCACCAAGCCATTGGGACCCTTCAGTCCCATGGATATTTCATCAACTCTGGCTTTCAGCAAGAATGGGAATACTTCATTGCAGTTGATCTCAAAGGGTTTCAGAGTCGATATTGGGCTCTCGAGGAGAGGAAGTTATTGCTCTAGAGAGAGGAGTTATGTTGTTGCTCAAGCCTCTTCTTCTCAGACTTCAGTATTCAACCCGGTTTCATCCCCATCAAATACCACCACCACTGACTCTCGAAAGAAATCAAGTAATATTGTCTTATTTCAATTTGACTTCAATTAGAAAAGAATACAAACTATAAAAAAAATAAAAATAAATAAAAGAAGAAGAAGAAGAAGAAGAAGAAGAAGAAAATAATAGAAGTTGGCATGCACGTATTGATTTTTTGAGATGTTCTCAATTTTTTTTCCCTTCTGTTTCTTCTTTACTTGGAAGTGAAGTGGATCCTTTTTTATGGATTCTTCTAATTTCTATTCCTTTTTCCTTTTCAGATGAAGCAGCCTTGATCCTAATTCGCCATGGCGAGTCTTTATGGAATGAAAAGAACTTGTTTACAGGTTGTGTAGATGTGCCATTAACCAAGAAGGGTGTGGAAGAGGCAATTGAGGCTGGTAAGAGAATCAGCAACATACCTGTCGACTTAATCTATACATCTGCACTGATTCGTGCACAGATGACTGCTATGCTTGCCATGACGGAGCACCGTCGCAAGAAGGTAATATGTTGAAAAGTCTTGTTGGCACCAAATGCTCTTTGGTTTTTCTTTGTTGGGATCTCAGATGTTGGAAGCTGATAATATATCTCACTGAATATACCTGTTGATGCTAAGCATCTAGGGAGAAGTAATTGATAGGAATAATGGGATTTGGTCCATACAAACTGTAATTTCTTTCACTTTATTTAGGATATGTATGGATCTTGGATTTAGATAGGGATTTGGAAAGGGAAAGGAAAAGGCAAGTAAAATGGAGAAAAAATTTAGCTTATATTTTATTCACATTTTCCTCGCCTTTCTCCTTTCCCTTTCTAGAGCCCTATCCATGATACAAACACAGCCCTAAGATTCCAAGTTTCATTATTGTTTCAAAAACTCAGAAATCCTGAACCTGATTCCTATAATCTTTTTATCCACTATATCAATCTGCTTGCAGGTGCCTATCATTATGCATGATGAGAGTGAGCAGGCGAAGTCATGGAGTCAAATTTTCAGCGAAGAAACCAAAAAGCAATGTATTCCAGTTATCACAGCTTGGCAACTGAATGAAAGAATGTAAATTGCGTCACTGTTTCTTCTTTTCTGGTTATTCCTCTTGCCTCCTATTCTCATTACACACTTCCCTGTATTGTATCTGACATATGAACTGTTTTTCTCTTTAGGTATGGGGAACTACAAGGTCTTAACAAACAAGAAACAGCAGATAGATATGGAAAGGAACAAGTTCATGAGTGGCGCCGTAGTTATGACATACCTCCACCTAATGGCGAGAGTTTGGAAATGTGTGCTGAGAGAGCTGTTGCTTACTTCAAAGAACATGTGAGTAGGTTATGTGCTTATTTGTTTTATCTTTTTATCTTGCTTTCCTCTTATTCAATAGCAATTGATATTTGAAATATTATTGTTACAGATTGAACCGCAACTTGTATCTGGAAAGAATGTAATGATAGCCGCCCATGGGAACTCATTGAGGTCCATTATTATGTATCTTGACAAATTAACATCCCAAGAGGTGAGAATTTAATCTTATTGGGTTATTAATTTGCTCTGTGTCAGGCTGATCAAAACAAACAAAAAAAAGCCCCCACTTTGCGTCAATTTCTGATTTTTATGGTAGACCTTTTTTTTTTTTTTTTTTTTTTATTTTGTATTTTTATCAGGTTATTAGCCTAGAACTATCAACTGGGATACCGATGCTTTACATATTCAAAGAGGGAAAATTTATGAGAAGGGGAAGCCCTGTTGGACCTGCTGAGGCAGGGGTTTATGCTTACACTAAGGTATGCAACTTTTTATTTTTTGATAAATACACAAAGGTATGCAACTTTGCCCCATGTTGTATTTGAATCTGCTTTTGATCACTGTATCCTTCACAATTACTTTATTCTGATGGTCATAGCTTAAAAAGATACATTTGAAATGTTGCTTACTCAATGAAAATGGACTCCATGTAGTTATGAACTGTGTTACATGGACTCTTCTATTTCTTGCCTCCTATTCTCATTACACACTTCCCTGTATTGTATCTGACATATGAACTGTTTTTCTCTTTAGGTATGGGGAACTACAAGGTCTTAACAAACAAGAAACAGCAGATAGATATGGAAAGGAACAAGTTCATGAGTGGCGCCGTAGTTATGACATACCTCCACCTAATGGCGAGAGTTTGGAAATGTGTGCTGAGAGAGCTGTTGCTTACTTCAGAGAACATGTGAGTAGGTTATGTGCTTATTTGTTTTATCTTTTTATCTTGCTTTCCTCTTATTCATTAGCAATTGATATTTGAAATATTATTGTTACAGATTGAACCGCAACTTGTATCTGGAAAGAATGTAATGATAGCCGCCCATGGGAATTCATTGAGGTCCATTATTATGTATCTCGACAAATTAACATCCCAAGAGGTGAGAATTTAATCTTAGTGGGGTATTAATTTGCTCTGTGTCAAGCTGATCAAAACAAACAAAAAAAAGCCCCCACTTTGTGTCAATTTCTGATTTTTATGGTAGACCTTTTTCTTTTTTTTTTTTTTAAATTTTGTATTTTTATCAGGTTATTAGCCTAGAACTATCAACTGGGATACCGATGCTTTACATATTCAAAGAGGGAAAATTTATGAGAAGGGGAAGCCCTGTTGGACCTGCTGAGGCAGGGGTTTATGCTTACACTAAGGTATGCAACTTTTTATTTTTTGATAAATACACAAAGGTATGCAACTTTGCCCCATGTTGTATTTGAATCTGCTTTTGATCACTGTATCCTTCACAATTACTTTATTCTGATGGTCATAGCTTAAAAAGATACATTTGAAATGTTGCTTACTCAATGAAAATGGACTCCATGTAGTTGTTATGAAGAGAATGAAGATAATTATTAACTCATTTATAGAACATTTTGAGTTTGCTAGTATTGAAGGTTTCTGGGGAAAAAAAAATTGTCTTCTTCCTTAGCAGGGAAATAAAATTTTGGATTTGTATTAATCTATATATAGTCTTTGTTCATATTGCATTACATCTACCCACCCTATCTTAGAATGTTTTAAGTGTAACTTTTGAAATGGCTTAAATTTAGTGGAGAATGATGATTTAAGTCTTAACAATGAATCACATGCTTCCATATGGAAAAGTGAATCTCCCAGTATTAGTCTATGCCATGCATGAAATTAATGTTTTGTACTTCTGTAATAAACCCATAAAATATATAATATTTGATCTTCTATGACTAAAATATAGAGAGTCTGCTTTTCTCCCTTTTTGTTTTTCTTGAATAAGATTACAATATTCCATCAGTTGTTCTGTCCGATTACTTCTCAAAGAAAAAAAATTCAATCCATTGTTTAATACCCCATACCTATGCTATGCCTGTATAGTGTGTTCTGTATGGGAGCTTTGTCCTTCCATTTGTTGGTGGAGAATCTTCATGGAGAAATAGCAATGCAGCAGTAGCTTTGAATATTTATAGATATGTAGTGGAAGATGTGCTTCTCAATTATTGAGTGAAGTTGATAGAAACTCTTTACCTTGTTTTCTGGTTGTGAATATGTCAATATACATTAGATTAAAGGGGCCTAAATTTGCCTCATCAAATGGCCTTTCTCTGAGAATCCAACTGTTTTCTGATGCACTGGCTGGAACCTGGCACACATTCTTTAGTTAAAAAAGGAAGGCTTAGGTACGAAGTAATGAATATTTATTCTTGACAATGTTGCCTTTTTTTTTGGGGGGTGGGGGGGTTTAGGTAGTTGAACTTCTAGTTCCATCAGATGATAAACTTCAAATTATGTGCAACTGAAAAGGACAAGAGAGAGAGAGAGTGCTATACATCTTTCTTTTCTTCTCTATTACTAATAATTTGGGCAACTAATCGTTTTCCCCCTTTCCCAAAATGCAGAGTTTGGCTCTCTACAGGCAAAGGTTAGATGAGATGTTTCAGTGATGATCATATCAGTCAGGTCTATGAATTTTGTTGATTTTCTTTTGCTTCTAATTCCCTTCTTCATACTTTCCTAGCCTCACAGCTTTTATCATTTTGCAGAGTCTTACCTTTTGTTGCATTTCCAATCTGCATATGTATCTGTGTCATGTTCAAGGTGAAAAGCTGTTATGCATAAGCACGTTCTCTGAAACTGTTATATCCATCATAAAGCTGGTTACTGCTCTTTTGTAGTTTTTGTATTTCTTTTAGGGTTACATGTTTATGATAGGTTGTGAAGTTTAATCATATGATAGAAACTGAAATCAGATGATATTAATCTCGGACTTTTGAATCCCTTTGTGAAATTCACAGACTTCGTAATGTAGGGATTTTCGATCATAGGGAAGAAAGATGTTTACTAGGCCTTAGAATTGTAGTATCAGTGATGGCAAGGTGTTTTCCAGTCGCTATATACACATGAAAGGTTTATTTTGTACCAGATATGAAATTTAGCTTCAAATGGATTGTATGAATAGCGTGTTTTGGTTGTGTCATGGAAATTGAATCTATATGCTGTGTTTGAAATAAGATTTGAATGTGCTTCTCAATTATTGAGTGAAGTTGATAGAAACTCTTTACCTTGTTTTCTGGTTGTGAATATGTCAATATACATTAGATTAAAGGGGCCTAAATTTGCCTCATCAAATGTGAGAATCCAACTGTTTTCTGATGCACAGGCTGGAACCTGGCACACATTCTTTAGTTAAAAAAGGAAGGCTTAGGTACGAAGTAATGAATATTTATTCTTGACAATGTTGCCTTTTTTTTTGGGGGGTGGGGGGGTTTAGGTAGTTGAACTTCTAGTTCCATCAGATGATAAACTTCAAATTATGTGCAACCGAAAAGGACAAGAGAGAGAGAGAGTGCTATACATCTTTCTTTTCTTCTCTATTACTAATAATTTGGGCAACTAATCTTTTTCCCCCTTTCCCAAAATGCAGAGTTTGGCTCTCTACAGGCAAAGGTTAGATGAGATGTTTCAGTGATGATCATATCAGTCAGGTATATGAATTTTGTTGATTTTCTTTTGCTTCTAATTCCCTTCTTCATACTTTCCTAGCCTCACAGCTTTTATCATTTTGCAGAGTCTTACCTTTTGTTGCATTTCCAATCTGCATATGTATCTGTGTCATGTTCAAGGTGAAAAGCTGTTATGCATAAGCACGTTCTCTGAAACTGTTATATCCATCATAAAGCTGGTTACTGCTCTTTTGTAGTTTTTGTATTTCTTTTAGGGTTACATGTTTATGATAGGTTGTGAAGTTTAATCATATGATAGAAACTGAAATCAGAAGATATTAATCTCGGACTTTTGAATCCCTTTGTGAAATTCAAAGACTTCGTAATGTAGGGATTTTCGATCATAGGGAAGAAAGATGTTTACTCGGCCTTAGAATTGTAGTATCAGTGATGGCAAGGTGTTTTCCAGTCGCTATATACACATGAAAGGTTTGTTTTGCACCAGATATGAAATTTAGCTTCAAATGGATTGTATGAAAAGCGTGTTTTGGTTGTGTCATGGAAATTGAATCTATATGCTGTGTTTGAAATAAGATTTGAAACTACATGATTCTTGTGATGTTCACAGTTTGTTATCATGTCTTTTGGTGTTGTGGTCTTATCATGTGATGCATCAACCACTTTATCTCCCTGGTCAAGAATTTGAAAAGTAAAAAATGGTTTCTTTTTTTTTAATACTATACTTTATATATACCCTTACAAGTTACAAGTTATATAGACGATTTGGCTTCTAAGAATTAAAAATGGTTTTTTTTTTTTTTTTTTGTGTGCGAAAATTTTCACCGTAGGATGTGCTCAAATCATGCTCTGACCCGCAAAAGTTGTGTTTGCATCATGAATTTGGGTAGAGACTTGGAAAAGGAAAAGTGAAAAGGTGGGTAAAATGTAAATAAAATATAGTTATATTTTACTTGCATTGCACTCACATTTTTCTTTCCCTTTTCAAATTTTTATCCAAATCCATGATCTAAACAAAACCTGAAAGATCAATTAAAGCAAAGTATCCCGTGAAAAAGGTTCAAAAGTGCAATTGACTCTCTTAAAAGATCATTTTGAATAAATTGCTTTATCTATTTTAATCAATTTTAGTAATATACCAACTACTTGATCTTTCAGGTAGTAAATTGTATTTTTGAACAATTTTTAGGTAGCAAGCTACTTTTGAACATCTTTTTTGGGAACTAGTTAGACCTTTGTACATCTTTTGAAGGGATAGATTGTTCAAATTAATCTTTTACGAAGCTAATTGCACTTTTGAGCATTATTGAGGGTGTAAATTGTTAAAAACACAATGTAATTAGCATAACACTCAGGCTGTGTTTGGTAATTGGGATGGGGGCAACTTATCCAACCACGGATGAGACTGCAGCTTAATCACCCTGGACATCCAATTCCCATCTTATTTCATTCAGATCCAAACATGACCTTAATGTGCAAAAATGTTTGAGATTCTGGAATATGAGCATTTTGTTGATCATATTCTCATATTGGTTCATGTTAAAAAACTGTGGATCTGTGAGGGCTGATGTTCCCATCTTATTTCATTCGGATCCAAAGCAAGTTTAGATTGGAAGACATGAAACTTCCATCCGCTTGCTTCAAATCCAACACAAACAGGTACTTTACCCAACCTTTAACAAAGTACAGAAAAAAGAAAAAAAGAAAATGAAGAAATTAAAGTGTGTTTGTTTTTGACGGATTAGGGTGTGGGATTGAACTATTAATCCTACCGAACTAGTAGTCCGTTGTTTGTTTCATTTTTTTTGCTCCGGACTATTAGTCTATGGGATTGTTTCCATGGGATTGATATCTCATGGGATTGGGCTCTGAAATGTCCATTTTACCCCATGTTATTACTTAGCAAACAATTAGAAAAGGATAAAATAGTCTTTTGAACATTTGTAAATTATTTTTTTAGGGTTTTTAATTTAAAATTATATATTAAATAAAAAATTTAAATTATAAATTATAAATTATAAATTAAATTTAATTAAAAATAATAAATTATAAATTATGGCCTTATAAATTAAATTTTTTTAGTGTTGTTAAAAAATTAAATTTACATATTAAATAAAATTATTTTTTTAGTGTTGTTAATTTAAAATTATATATTAAATAAAAAATAAAAAATATAAATTATAAATTTAATTTAATTGAAAATAATAAATTAAAAATTATGGCCTTATAAATTATATTTTTTTAGTGTTGTTAAATTATAAATTATAAATTACAAGAGTAAAATAGTCTTTTAAACATTTATCCTTATCCAGTCCGTCTAGCCAAACATTAGATTCACTAAAAATAGTCCAATCTAGACATCTAATCCCATGACTAAACAAGCATAGGATACAAATCCAATCCAACCAAATAGTCCGAGGATAATGTATCTCGGGACTAACAGTCCGATGGATTCCAATCTCCCTTTATCCAGTCCGTCCAAACAAGGTGTGTTTGATTGGGGGGATTATTCACTATTGGTATTGTAATCCATGAGAGGCTCTTTATCCGACGCTTGTTTTTTTTTAAGTCCGCCGGATATGGAGTTTGGCCGGACTCCTTATCCCCCATATGGGGGACTATTGTATCCTGGGGAGCTATGGGACAATTTTCGGGAGACTCTCCACTGTTGGGATTAGGTGATGAAATGACCATTTTGACCTTCTACTATTTAATTATGTATTATATTTAGTAAAATTTAATAAAATTTAAATATCTCAATTTAAAAATAAAATAATTTTGTTTAACTTGTTATTGATGTTTTATTTATTTAATTTTTTAAAATATTTTTTTATAGATATTTTATTGATGTTTTATTTTAAAATTTTGTTTATAATTTATTTAATTTCATTATTTAAATTTTAATAGATGTTTTATTTAATTTCATTATTTAATTATTATTATTTTTTAAAATAAATTTATTTAAAATTTTAATTAAAAAAATAACATATATTTTTATTGATATTTTATTTATTTTATTTATTGAATTCAAAAAAAATAAATTTATTTAATTGTGTAAAAAATAAAATAAAATATAATTTTATTTAATCTAGCTAAAAAATTAAAATATTAAAGATATGTTTAATATTGCTATTACTTAGTAAACAATTAAAAAATATAAAATAGTCCTTTGTTCATTTATCCTATCTAGTCCGTCCAACCAAACGTTGGATTCACTAAAAATAGTTGTTTCCAGACATCTAACCCCATGAAAAAACAAACACATGATACATATTCAATCTAATCAAATAGTTCAGGAGATTCACAGTCTTAGGACTCAAGTCCAATAGATTATAATCCCCAATCCAACCAAATGTGCAAGAATATCAAAGGTGAGTGATGTTAAACTCATAGATGGTGTGTGGGTCAACTGTGAAAGAGATACTCGAGAGTGTTCATCACTCAGAAAACAAAAGTTTAGAATGTACCTGTTTAAGCTTACTCATCAACTTAAAGTAACGGCACCTAAGAACGAGTTTCGTTTTGTAACTCGAATTTCTTTTGGCCCGAGTGGTTCGACTGTCCAAAACGAACCAATTCCGTTTTGTAGCTCGAATTTCTTTTGGCCCAAGTGGCTTGTTTTTTTTTTTTTCCTGCAGATGAAGGAGAAGGAGGAGAGAAGAGGGAGTTGTGTGAGAGAGAGAGAGCATATCATCATCATCATCAACAATATTATCATCAACGCGTTTTGGCATCAACAACAAACAACACCACATCCTTTGTTTTTTTTCTCCAGATAACTCAGAACAGAGAGAGAGATAGATCTATACACATACACACAGAGAAAGAGAGATACACAGATCTGTTGATGATGGTGTCGGTGATGGCGGTGATGCCTCTCTCCTCTCTATTCCCTCTTCCTCTCTCTTCTCTCTTTTTCTCTTTCTCTTCTCTCTTCCTCCCTTTGTTTCAGAATATAAGAGGGGGAAAAAAATGCCGAAAATAGTCGAGCCACTCGGGCCAAAGAAATTTTGAGCTACGAAGGATTATTCTCTAAGAACTCATTCATAAGGAAAGTCGTCAAGTATATTTCGAGACTTTCCTGTGTCACAAATCTAGTAAAAGTGAGGTATTATCGTTAAGTCAGCTTTAGCAATCTTCACTCGTATTTCAGTACTGGAGAAGCTTTAAAGGAGACGAGCATGAAGATAATAGATTGGGAGTTAAATATTATTAAAAGCTATAATATCAACCTTCTGTCACAATTGCGAAGCATAAATTCAGAACAGTAGAAGATTCAACAAGAGCAAACTGTCCTAGACAAGCAAGTTTAATGATGGCTTGCACATGGTACTTGTAAATTGCTACATGGTTGTCTAGGCTAAATTACGTACTCTGCTCTATTTGTCATCGCCTTCATGAGATAGAGATTTATCTTCTTTTTCATCTGACACATCAGAATCTGACTCAGACTTCGCAGGATTTAAACAGGTGGCAGTTGTGATGGATGGTTGATGGGCTGCCTCGAAAGCATTCCCTCTCGCCCAAAATGATTGAATCCTCTTATCGTCTTCTCTCATCCTCTCGGCATATTTATTGATGTCAAAACCCGCATTATCTTTACCACCAAAGCCAGACTCGAGCTTGTCCTTGTCAAATAGGTCCTCCATTATTTTCATGGTATTAGGATCATCTGAATAAACAAATTTGACTTTGTTGGCTGTCTTGGGTTCTAAAAAGGGCTTCACCACCTGCAATCATACAATATTGTGAAGTAAAAGAAAACCTTTCAACACAAACAAATTACTCTAATCAAGTACCCATGATTAACGAAAAAGGCACATTATAAACAGTATAATTGAGTGTCTACTCAATCGTAATGGTCAGAATCACCCGGGAGATATGCAAGTCAAAGTAGGATGATCAAATAGTTTTAAACATAACATATCTTCATTGGCAACCTTCTGTTGAGCACACTTCATGAAACCGGAATTATATGCAATGCAATCGTCATTATAATCTTATAAATCCTTCCATTGTACAATATAATTTGCCGATTTCATCTCTATCAAATTGTTAATGGGTTAGCTGATGGCAGTTTGACTTCCCCAAGTATGGGGGAATATTTCCGAGATTTTAACAAACAAGATTACTTTTATTTATTGCAATTTAAAAATTAAAAAAATTAAAAAAACCTTCCCAGAGGAGAGCTGAAGCTCATAAACCTAAATTTTGAGATATTAGGATATGTATTGAAAAGTGAGATATGGGTACGGGAACATGTCGTGGACACCAATATACATTGCATATTGTATAATATTATTAGATAAAATATTGTAAGTTATCTAAAAATATACTTGAAATTAAATAGGTTTTAGAAAAAGTATGTAATTTCTATCTCTCGTGACATCCATGTGAGAGGCCAAATATGGGAAAATAAAAGAGTTCATGTAATACGGGGCTTTAAACTTTCAATGGTTACTAAAGACTAAAAGTTCAGTAGTAATGCAGAAACCTAATTTTTTATTTTATAAATAGAATACCTTTACAAAATTAATTAAAATTTAAAAAATGTTTGAAATACCAAGGAAATGTATAATACCACAATCTTGTTGAAAACTAAAACCTTAGTGGTAGGAGACTCCTAGTGGAGCCTTGCTCCTTGCTCTGACACCTCCCTCCAGCTCCTACTACTCCCGCTTTTGCTCTCAACTTTAAACTCTCCTATAGGGCGCTCGCTCCCTGTCCTCCATCCTGCCCCCACTCTCACTCCCAATCCCAATCCCGCCCCCGCTTTGTGCAACTACAAATAAAACTCTTCTTTAAAATCTAATACTAGGAGATTTCCATCAATTGTGGGTCCAAGATGTTTGCACAGACCATCAATTCCAAAGTCCATCTATGTCACCAGTTATATTATTCAACATATATGATTCTATATCAAATAATGGAGAAAGGTCAAAATGGGTGTACCGTCCAGAATGGTTCAAAGAACTTGGGCGGGTTGTATAATATTGCAACACCAAGCCTCTCAGGATAGTGTTCTTGCAAAACATGGGCAGTTTCCTTTGTCGATTTGACTGAGATATTCGACAAATTGAAACCATGGAAGTCTATCAGCCAGATCATCTCTTCCTGGTTTTGTGGCAGATTCATAATAGCATTCTCCATGCAATACACCAAGTACCTAATTTGTGCTTTAACAGACTTTGAGTTCTGCAGTCAAACACAAACTTGAAAAAGTTGTCAAGGCAGAGCAACAAGAGGCATGGTAGTCCTCTTTTAATACTTGAATCCTAGGAACAACAATACAACGTAACCGTGCCAAATATCAATTTATAAGCAGAACACCTCTGTGAGAAACATATGCAAAATAGGCAATGATATGGACAGAGCCAGAAATTTAGACAAATAACATGAGCTATATTTACATTTTTTTAGGACTAATTTGCAATGTGTCAAAATCAAACATAAAAAGTTCAATACAAACAAAAAGAATTACTTTGTTTGGTTTTAGAATTTTGAATTCACTTTTCAAAAAATTAAGTTTTTTCTGTATTTTTTTTGTTTTCATTGAATTTTTTTAATATTTGAAGAATTTTTTTTAGTTTTTAGATACACCTAACATAAATAAATACACTAGTATAATATTTGTAGAAAAAATCTTTACAAAATTCACTAAATACAAAAAATATATATGAAAATTCAGTACATTTTCGTATTCTCATATATTTATTGATTTTTAAAATATGTTTTTACAAATATTCTACTTTTTAGATACATCTAGGCACTAAGGTTAGATGCATCTAAAATGCATCTAAAAAGTAAAAAAATTGATTAAATATTACAAAAAATTACTAAAAACAAAAAAATACGAAAAACAAAAAACTCAATTTTTAGAAAATTTAAGTTCAAAAATTGGAACCAAACTAGGTGAATTCATCTATCAAAATAGTTCTTGACGATCATCTTTTATCAAAGAATTCATCTTATGATTAAACTTGTACTAAATTTTTTGGAACTTCAAAATATAGCAAAAACCCCAATTATAAAGCAAAAACAATTTGCATGAGAATCCTATGAGAAACATTTATAAGTTTTTTAACTACAATAATAAATATCTCATAAAATCAAATCACGACATTGAAGAAAAATTCAAATAGCAAATAAGTCAAAAAGTGTGTTAGATATAAAAGACTTTTTTGATCTTGTGAAAGACTTTGGTGGGTGAGCATTTATGCCGTGGGTTTCAATGAATTCACAATGAGATCAAATATAACATATCATTATTACAAAAAAAAAAAAACTCTCATAGTGGGAGAGAGAAATTTCAATTAAATATAAGGGAAATAAAGCCTATTACACAAGTGGAAATTTGAACACCCAACTTTTTATAATTATTTTTAGTGAAATGTAAGGATTTTGCATGACAAGCTAACCCCATTACTTCAAAGCCTTAGGTGTTTAGGTGGGGCACTACTAATCAGACACTTATCGTTGATATATATACCATACATAGGAGGTGTTTTCGAAAGATTAGGGCGTTGAGTTTTGTCTCAAGAGTAGCAATCTGACTGATAGACTCATAATGATGAAAACCATTCAACCCATTTTTGGACATCAAAAAGGTCATGTATCTAACAATTCACATAATCTATAGCTAAGGAATCAAAGAGCATTTATTCATTCAATCCTACTAAAAATTTAGTTGCATTACAACATATGTACATAGAGGCAGGTGTAAGCATCAGACGAAACCTGGCAGCCTGGTCTCATGACAAGAACTGGTCTCCCATGCTTGTCTGCATAATTTGACCTGTATATTTTTCCTGTTTCTGCCTCACGAGCAACCTCATCCTACATAACAAAGGAAGGTTAAAAATATTGTAAAGACGAAAATATTGTCAAGTATGAGACCACGAGCCAACTTTGAGGTTACTCATGAAAAATTGAAACCTAGGCTAGAAGGAAAAGATAGGCCTAGAACCATCATCAGAATTTTTTTGGATGGATAGAACCATCATCAGAATGCTAAAGTCTAATCGCAGGAAATTAGATCCCATGCCAATTTTAGCAGAAGTCGAATGCAATAAAAAAGATTCAAGGATTCTGACTTAAAAGATGTTAAAACCTACCATCACCTACTCCACCTACTACACCTACCACCACCTACTACCACCTACTACACACCTACCACTACCACCTACTACCACCTACTCCACTACATCTCCTATATAAGGAGCCCCTCACCATTTGTAATAGGATTTTTCGTTTCTGTCAGATAGTAGTGATGAGTGTGCAGTGGAAGAGCTCCTCAGTCAAGCAATGGATCACTCTGTTCTTGAACAGGTTGCCGCCATTAACTGCTCTGGTTTCACTTCCGACTCTGTTCTTCCGTCTCACCTCGAGACTCGCTTCCGCAGGCTTAAGTCCTTACCAACAACAACCACAAAAATGTCTCCCACTCTTTCCAATCACAAGAACAACCCTTCTTCTTCAAGCTTCAATTCACACTTTCCCTCTGCATACTGAACTCTCTCAGTCACTCTCTTCTTCTTCTCTCTCTAAAATCCATTGCTGAGAGAGAGAGAGAAACCCAGAAAAATGCGTTTCCTCCTCCTCTTCCTCCTACTCCAGTTC